ACTTTAACGAAGACACTTGATTTCTTAAAAAGTACTCTAAAGCGTATAAATAAGTTACCCGGGCAATTGATCTACATCAGCCAATCAAACGAACTTCCTCCTATGATTATTCAAATAGAATCGGACCCGGGCGGATCTTCGTGTGGGTCCGAACCCGTATCGATTCTGAAAAATCAAGGGTCCGAACTCGGTCCGTCAACGGACCGGACCGGACCCGGATCTTTTGCGGAACACTATTCCTAACCCTCATACATCAGATCAGTTTGGTATGGTTTTAAAAATTTTGTCCAGATCATACTGATCTGTGAAATACCTGATTTTGTTTTAGGATTTATTTAATAATCAAAAAGGGATTAGCTACATAGCGATAGAACTAATGTTTACTTAAATACATCAAAAAAAAGAAATACGTATCATTATTATAAAATTAGTTAATTCGAAAACGGCTGTTCCATTTGTAGTGGCTAAAGTGAATGTATTAAACCATAGTAATAATTGATTAAACCAAAAATCATTTAAAAATGAATTAGCGTTAGTATTACGTAATGCAGATATTTCGAGAGTGGCTGATGTTACAACTTGGGAGAACGTTTTATATCAGCGCCGTAAGCATTAAGTAGGAAGACAAACAGTTTATTTCAATGTGCACAGACAAGAAAAATACTCAAAAAGTGCAACCGATACAGGTATACCCAGTACAAGAAAGAACCCTCCTAAAAATCTAAAATCTCAAAATTTCTCTAAGAACCTCTAAACCTTCTCTTCCTTTATTAGTGTCTATTATACAAAATTGTAAAGTATGAGCTAATTCTATAAAGTATAATGTAGTAATTACTTCGATCATTACTTAATGAAATAGATATATTGTTTATATACTGCTTAAATTTGATTATGACTCCTAGTCAAAAAAATTTTGTTATTTTTACTTCTAAGTAAAGTTGTAGAGCCGATTATTACGATTCTAATAACAATTGAATGGCTAAAATTGGAATAGTAGCTCAGGAGATATGACTAAAAATGGTTTTCTGACTATATAAAATTGAAAAGGCATTTTGGTTATATCTACTAGTCCAATTTTAGCAATTCAACCATTGTTAGAATTACTTAGAAGCAAAAATAATATTTACTTGGTAAAAAAAAAAAGTTTTTCTAAGTGAACCCAGGTTTTTATATAGGCCATAATCAGATTTGAGCAATAAATGAACTGTATATTTGTTTATTCCAATTTAAATATGATCACTAATTAATAATTTAGGGCTTAAAACGTATTAATTTATAACTTTATTGCTAAAGATTGGTTATTTGTATAGCGGTGATATTTTCAAGAAGTGTTAATGAATTTTGGCTTAAATGAACGTTACAATCTTTTGCATTCATATAAACTTAGAATTATCGAAAATGGCCTGGTCGTTCCTGAGATATTTGATTTCTTTTTTTTGTTTTTCGGTTTATTTATGCAGAAAACTAGTATTATGCAACTATGAAATTTTTTTTATTATGTAATTAATTATTTATTTTTAATTACTAAATAAATAATATGGTTGTTAGCATTTAACATTATCCAAAATAATTAACAGTTCTCAAATTGCATATAGTACGTAACAACTTTGTCTATTGTAATTAACAGCTTGATTGATTAACGGTTTTATTGATTAATGGCTTTATTAATTAACAGATTAATTAAACTTTTAACCGTTAATAACTGATGAATATTAAATAGCTACGCTACCACTATGTATAATTGATGCTCTTCGAAGCAATCAAATAAAACACTGGGTTATAGTTATAAATATGATCGTGATAAAATCTGGTCTATATAAAAAATTTTGCAAGGAATTTTTTTGCTAGAGCGCAGAAAGTGATTTCATAGATCTAAAAATCTTATTGGTGTTGAAATCTGATCGCTCATACTTGATAGCATAATGATAACATTTCCCTCTATATATTTTTTATAGTAAAAAAAATATTTTTTTTTATAAACAAACTATAAGCTACATGCAATTTTTTTAAAAAAATACCATTATCTAAACATTGTAAACAACATTTATAAACTTTCAAAACTTGCCAGAGTATATTGTTGAATCCAGTACTAGTCGGCTAATACTATATAGCTATTAGTTTACTTAATCAATATTAAGAAATTCCAAACCCACTTAAATTCCGTTCCCACTTACAACAATATGCGCAAAATTCATTGTTACGGCTGATGCTGAAGTTTGGCTGATGTTGAAGCTAAAAAATCTGATTGGTTAGGGTTAGGGTGATCTGCAAAATTTAGCCAATCAGATTTTTTAGCTTCAACATCAGCCAAACTTCAGCATCAGCCGTAACAATAAATAATAAACTTAAAGCCGAAGCCATGGCATCACTCATATTTGATAACGATAAATGAAGTTTGACATTGAAAAAATGGAAGCGTTAAATAATGAAGTTTTAACATGAAAACTTCCATCAGAAAACATTTCTGATTATGAAAAATTAAGCACAAATTTTTCGTGAAAGGATTAGATTAACGTCGTCAGATCTTTTGAAATTTATCATTGTCTTAATTGCATTCAGTCCCGTTTGATGTATTGAAATTGTTATTAATTCTTAATGTCATGCCCTTATTACAATGATCCTGTAACAAGATTCGCAGAATTGGGATTTGAGCCACGATTTGACACGTGCCGCTTAGCTGGCTTAGCTGACTTAGCCAACTAAGATGGCTTATCTAGCTGGTATTACAACAATGTTTCTACGTATTGTATATACTAACACTAATATGCACGTACGTACGTGTAAAAACGACGTGTAAAAACGCCAAGATTATTTATAAATGAGTGAAAGCATTTCAAAAGAACATATTTTGAATTTAATAAATAAAAGAAATATAGCGTTGTCTTTTTAGCTGTGATAAACATTAGTTTAAATTTAAAGGAGGCTATTATATCATGATATATTTACATGTGTTTACCATTTTAATTTGACAAAAATAAATGTATACATTTTACCGGTTATCGTTATAAATATAAATATTAATATCTATCAACGTATAAATAAAAATTAATATTCATCATGAAAATTCTCTTCTTAATCATAAGGAAAATTATTTTCAATTCATTTTTTCAAATTTCAACAGCAGCATCTGTTATAGATTATTCTTATTCATCTGTGCAAGATTTATACGATGCTATTCTTAATACATTGTTTCCAATCATTTTTGTCATTTTATTTAGTGTCAGAGGTGAATCTGGACGTATTAAGAAAGTGGTATTACCATTATTAGATGATATATTATATAATATTATCACTTGGTTAATTCCACTGATAGTTGCTTTTACTTATGGTGATACATTATATATAAAGATGTTTTCAATTGTAAACATGTGTTTACATGTATTTTGTGCAGTATTCGCAATAATTAAGCATGAAACAATTAAAGAATCTAAAGGAAAAACTTATTCAGAATATATATTTTTATTTTTAGTATTCTTTCCAGTAATAGTCATCCCAATGTTTTGGATAATTATTATTTGTAAACATCCTTGGGATCTAATTAGTTTAATATTTCTTGTATTATTTGGATTATTATTAGTATCGGTAGTTTTATTTATTCTTTTCTTGGGTTTTTATATTTATGGTTTATTAGACTCATTTGCTCTTATATTTCTTTATATAACAACTATTTTAGATATTTTCTGTTCTATATCATTTTATGCTCCAAATATTTTACAAACATTCTTTATTTTGTTACAATGGCCAATTAATTTTTACTTTGTAAAAACATGTGTATTCGTATTGGTTCTATCTTCAACAAGAAATATGTCTTATTATACTGATAAGGTTCCTGATGATTTTTTGGCTACTTCAACTGCAATAGCTCAGCATAGGTTGCGTGAAGTGCTAGCATCGGATATTTATATGAAACCCGAGGGATCAACAAATGTATAAAATCAGATTTTATTACAAATTTCAAAAATATTTGGTTGACTTTAAATTCAAAAACTACTATTGGTTTCATAAAATGGTATCGTATTATATTTATCGTATTATATTTATCGTTATTATATTTATCGTTATTATATTTATCGTTATTATATTTATCGTTATTATATTTATCGTTATTATAAATTTTTGCTGCAAATTTAACATTAACATCAAAATTGTAATTTCAGGTTATCAAAGCATATAGATATATAAATTTTTTGTTTCACTCCGGACAATATTGTAAATCTGGGATTACCTTTGTTGATACTTTTGGCACTAAAGTGATATTTCTTGTTTTTTTTTTTATTTTTTTATTGCTGAAGTACAAGTTACGTATATCATTTTTTTATAGTACATTCGAAATATCGGGTGGTAATTACACTTTATCGTTCATATACCTATTTTAACCTTAATGCTACAATTTACTTCTTTATTTAAATCAAATTGAATATATTATTTATCTATTTGGCAATTTAAAGAAATGAACTCATGATGAACTAGTTATTTACTATTAAAATAACTTGTTCCGATACATGTTTAAATATTCTAGCTATCTATTATAATTCTATAATTAGATTATGACAACAGCCCTGAATAATTCTTTAGAATTGTAGGTTGCTCATGCATTAAAAAAGCCGATTTTATTCTTGCCACTATATACCATATACACAAATTTAAGATTTGATTTAAACATCTCAAAAAATCGACACTTAGGCCTAACACAACTCGCATATACAATATTCTAAATTCAATGCTATCATATAACTTACAAGAAAAACTATTGTTGTTCTGGAAGTGTTGGTGATGGATGTTTGTAAATCTTCTTTTTCCATTCTCGTCGCTCTTCCTTGTTTTCCATAAATAAAGGAGGATATAAATAAAACGGAATTAAAAGATAATAATCGCGAATATATATAATGGAATATATATAATGGAATATATATAATGGAATATATATAATGGAAAGATTAGTATTATTGACAGAATCGAATATCTTGAGATCCAGTGGTCAAATCTATCTTGTCACTGTATCACTCACGAAACATTTGATTCACCAGAATACCCCTTTCCATTATATTTAAAGAAATACTAACATCTGTCATTCCAAGAGTTAACCCTTTCCATTGTCCAGCCCATTCATATACGGACATAACAGTTGCCATTCCGAAACAAGCTCCGAACGCAACCGGGTATGAACGTGCTTTTCATTTGACCACAGATTATTCCATTTTTTTTTCGAATTAGAGAATTTAAGATAAACAAAATAAAAAATGAAATGTGATTAAAATATGATTAAAATGATAAATTATAAGAATTAATCACTATACAATTTTTTATGTCGTGTTGCAATAGCTTTCTACATACAAATTAACAAATTGACAAAACTAATTAAAAATTCGATTATATGTATAAATCATCAATTGTGAATACCTCTTATTCCTGCTGTTAATCCTGCCGTACATCCTGCAACGGCTCCATTGACCCAATCATCAGTTTTACGAGCATTCGCAAGTATGGATTCCGTTCCCGCAAAGATACCTCCTATTAAAGCTATTTACAATAATCGAAATAAAATATTTGTAAGTTAATCATAAATTTCATTTAATATTAGGCTTAATAGAAAATATATTCATTTTCTTGGGTACGCAATTGTTTAATCAACAATTCAATTACGAACAATAAATATTTAAATCTAATCTAACTCAAAAAATTAATTTATGAATGCTACATTACACAATTCTCTCACACCTACCATATCCTGTAATAGTTTTTCCTGTTCTAGTAATGACACCAGTTGCTCCATATTCATGTCTAGATAGTGCATTCTGTACCGCTGAGATTAATAACCCAAAAGCTCCAAACCCTGTTGTATATTTAAGTGTATGAGAAAATACATCTTTTTCAAAATATATATCACTTTCGTTGATAGTAAATGGTCCTGTTGTTTCAGTTTCTAATGTTGATGCTACTACTGGTGTCGTTGGTTTAGAATTTGTAGATGTAGACATTTCGAATAAACGTAAAGTGATTACCTGTAAAGTGTAGATGCAAGTCTGGATTTTTTTTAAGATCGTAACACGTTACACGTATGATTTATCTTGTGATCATGACGTTGGTCATCGTTATATGCTACTTCCATTTTAAGAGTTTGAATATACAATGAGTAAAGCATATAAAAAGGGTCCTCTATCGCTACGTATCACAATCCAAACGAAAAATGCAGAAACCATTCATTCGCCAAAAATCGCTCGAAAAAATTTTGGAAGAAAGTGATGTTATCAAATTTGAATATTCTGCATACAGAAATATAGAACAAATTTCAAGAGGTAAAGTCCTTTAATTAGTTAATTTTTATAAACATAATCTAATAAACTGCCATTTATGTCAAAAATATTATAAGGTGGATTTAGTACTGTTAATTCGGCAGATTATAATGGAAAAAAGGTCGCATTGAAAAGCTTTAATGATGACAAAGTGAATAAAAACTTTCTTAACAAGGTGATTTATTACTCATTGTTTTCTAATGTCTAGTTTTTGTCAACTAAATCTAATATTATTTATAGCTTAAAATATTACATGCTATTAATCTCCATCCTAATATCATTCAATTCCATGGAATTACATGCGGTATTGTAATAATATATGTCGCGTCTGAAGCTGGAAATTAGTGATCTCCATTTAAAAATACAAACCCTACCAAATCCACTTATACATTTTTATTATCAAAATTCTAAGCTACTATAAAAAAAAAAGCTAAAAAAAATACTCCCCAAAATTTTAGAAAATTTCATATTAAAGTTTTTAAAATTTCCAGCTTCAGCTTTAACCGCGACAATATATATTGCACACTAAATAAATATTCTTTAAATAATACTTTCTAGTTATGATTTAATTAGATCCTGCAACAAATAAATTCATGCTAGTACTACAATTGCCAATGGGGGGAATCTACGGCAATATTTGATAAATAAATGGCATGAGGACACTTTTAAAATTTCATTCGAAGAAATTATCAAAATTGCAAAACAAACAACTAGTGGGTTAGATCATTTGCACAAAAATAATATAGTTCACGGAAATTTGGTAAGTTCTAATTTACTTGTTATTCTAACTCCTAATTAATTTTTTATTTTCTAAAATCATAAATTATTTGTTTAATAATTTATTAAGAACCCTTACAATATCTTAATCAATGATGATCAAATATTAATTGCGGGTTTTGGGCTATCAAGAAAAATAGATGATAGTTCTACCTCTTCAACTTCAATTCTAAATGGTGTGCCAGCATACCATGATCCATATTGTTGTCACAAGCCTGGGAGAAAACCCGATGAAAAATCGGATATTTACAGCTTAGGAGTAATATTTTGGGAGCTTACAAGTGGAGTACCTCCGTTTGTTAATTCTATTAGTGGTTTTCACATACTACAAACGATACACGGTTACCGGGAACAAACAATTCCCGGTACGCCAACAGATTTTGCTAAACTTTATAAAAAATGTTGGAATGCTGAACCGAAAAAGCGCCCAACAATAAGTGAAATTCTTGAGAATCTTAATTTAATGCTAAAAAGGGAAATGATTGAATTTATTATAAATTACAACAAAGAACTCAATCCTGATTTAGACGCAACATGTGTTTTAGATGCAACAGATTTAGACGCAATATCTGTCATAGATGCAACAGATTTAGACGCAACATCTGTCTTAGATGCAACAGATTTAGACGCAACATCTGTCTTAGATGAAACAGATTTAGACGCAACATCTGTCTTAGATGCAACAGATTTAGACGCAATATGTATCTTAGATGCAACAGAATCGAATATTTCTCATCCTACTAAATGGTTTGAAAAAATAAAGGATAATATTTCTGAAATTCTTGAGAATCTTAATTTAAAATCAAAGAAAGAAACAATACAATTTATTGAAGCACCTACCTTAGACACAACAGAATCAAATATTTCCTGTGATTCAACATGGTTCGAAATAACAAAAGACAGTATTGCCGAATATGGGTTTTCTGTATTTGAAAATAAAAAAGTAATTGGAAAAGGTGTGACATCCTTAATTATTTAAAATTTTTATTAGCCAAATTAACAATTTATATTTCTAACGTTAAATACACAAGGTGGATTTGGTGTTGTTTATTCGGCAGAATATAATGGAGAAAAATTCGCATTAAAAAGCCTTGACAATGACGATGTTAATAAAGAAGTGTCCAAAGAATTTATTAAAGGTGATAAATAATTTAATTTTCCATTGTCTACCTTCGTTATCTACCTTCGTTATCCAAATCAGCTAATTTCAATACTACTGTATTTATAGCTTAGACGATTATATAATATTAGTCCTCATCCAAACATTAACCGATTCTACGGAATTACTCACGGTATTATAATAATACATATTTGCATGCTTAAATAATGTATTATCTTAAATAGTATTTTATAGCATTAATTAATATTAGATCCAGAAACAAATAAATTCATGTTGGTACTACAATTTGCTAACGGAGGGAACCTGCGGCAATATTTACAAAATAAATGGCATGAGGGTGTCTATAAAATAAAATTTGATGAAATTCTTAAATATACAATTCAAATTACTTCCGGGTTGGGTTACTTGCATAATAATCATATAATTCATTGCGATTTGGTGAGCATTAATTTATCTATTCCTAACACTAAGATTTGATTATTTTTGAAGTCATAAATTAATTAATTAATTAATTAATAATTTATTGAGCATCCTAAAAATATCTTAATGAATGATGATCAAATATTAATTGCGGATTTTGGGCTATCAAGAAAAATAGATGATAGTTATACCTCTTCAGCTTCAATTGCAAAAGGTGTGCCAGCATACCTTGACCCGTATAGTTATTGCCAGCCTGGAAGAAAACCAAATGAAAAATCAGACATTTATAGCTTGGGAGTAATATTTTGGGAGTTCACAAGCGGAGTTGCTCCATTTGCTAATGCTATTTATAAATTTGCCATACTTTGTCAAACATCAGATGGTTATCGAGAACAAACAATTCCAGGTACGCCAACAAAATATGCTAAACTTTATAAGAAATGTTGGAATGCTGAGCCGAAAAAACGTCCAACAATATGCAAAATCCTTGAGGATCTTAATTTAATGTTAAAAGGTGAAACAGTTCAATTTATAATGAATGAAAACACGGAACTTATACCTAAAAGGCAAAAGATCTTAATTTTACGTTAAAATATTCTTTATTTAATATCCAATAATCATACAACAAGTATTATTTATTTGATTAAATTTAATAAATTACATACAATGAGGCGTATTTCGGAAATAAATAGGATATTCAAAATTTTATTTGTGTTTCCAAAATTTTGAAATCGGAAAATGAAATGTAATGTTTGGAGACTGGGAAAATCATTGTTTGATACTTGCTTTCAGATAGGGTTTTCCTAGTCCATTCCCCAAATTAGCAAGCTTTTTAATAACAAAGATCGTTAATTTAAATTTATTGAAAACGAAATAAGATTGATACATCCTTATTTGAAAATAAATCATTGTCTATTTCAATAAAAAATTAATTCATTTTATTCTGAAAGCCTTCAATGAGGGATTCCAGAATTAAAAAAATTAGCGTATTTTTAGAAATAAATAGGGGTATTAAAAATCTTATTTGTGTTTCAAAATTTTAAAATCGGAAAATGAAATGGGTGTGTTTAGAGGCTTCTATTTCATGAAATTAGTAAACTTTCTATGATAAATATAGATGTTAACATTCCGGTCTGGTCCGGTCTTTAATGATTTATATCCTAAAGATTTAAAGTGTCCAGACTGGGTTCAGACTGGCCCGGTCTTAAGACTGAGAGAAGACCGATTTATTTTTCAGTTTCAAACGCAAAACATACTAAAAAAGAGCCTCTAAAATACTATACTACTATAACGAAGTATAAAAAATTAGGATTAGGGTTTGTTTTTAGAGCCCTATCACGATATCAATAAAAATTTTTTTAACTTATCAAGATCAGTACTGCCGATCAATCAGGAATAGTATTTTGCGCGTTTCAGATTGGTCTTAAGACTAGGGTGGAGGGCAGGGTTCTTGGGCATGCCTTCAAGCTAAAAGGCATGCCATTTTATTTGATATTTAAAAACGTATATAAAATGAATGCACCTTCTGATTGGTTAATATTAACCACTACAACAAAGATAATAATAATATTGATATACGGTTAGAGTTTCCTAAATGCAACCTCTAAATGCATAGTCTCTTTAAATGCATGGTCTTATTTGGTCTCAATGTATATGATACATATGAATTTTTACCCCTAAATGCAAGATTTTTGATTTTTTAGCGATTACTTGGTACAACGTGTCTTATAATGGTGATACGTATGTACTGAATTTTTTTTTTTTTTTAACGTACTATCTTAATTTTTAAAAATGAGGAAATCTCAAAAATGGTTCGAAAAGCCGTTGAAAGACAATTTTTATTTATTTTTTTTTTTTGAAGTATCGGCAGCCTCGTCGGTATCTTTATTAGATCAAAGTAAATGCATAAAACATTCTATAACTATCTAAGCTATAGATCCGACATCACTCGGCTTCCTCTAAGAACGCCCAAGTGTGATCTGCCTCACCGGTTAAGGCTATTGTCTGTACCAGAGGGCTATACCAAGCTAGCCAGCAAAACCATAGCAATATGGTTTCAAATTAAAAGAATTTTTGACTATATCTAATTGATAATTTTCTCTTACTAAACTATTCTCCTTTTTAAAACAATAATCTAACCCTAATTTTTTCCTAACAAGTAATTTTATTTTATCTCTCAATAAAGGGAAATTGCCAGAATTCTTTTGTTTATATTTACATTTTCTCCTCTTCTTTTAATTTAGTTTATCCTTTCCAATAAGTGATCTAGCTTTCAGAAGTCTTTTTTTATTCTTTCCAATAGTCTCCTCTTCTTACTTCACAGTGTTATGATGTTCTTCTACTTCTTGAGAACTTCTTCTAATAAGCTTTTCTAGATATATTCTTCTGTAAGCTTTCTTTTCTTCAAAATGTCTTGGGCCTTTCTTTGGTCTTTTCACTTCTAAGTCTCAGATGGTCTGCTCGGATTCTTCTCCTTTTGTGATCTAGGTTTGTAGATCTTTTTCTTTCTTTTTCTTTATCTTTATCTTTTTTTTTTTCTTTTAGGTTTTGGTTTTTTCTCAAAAATTTCTCTTGAATTTCGTTCTAAATACTCTAGTTTTTAAAGATTTCTATGAAGATCTTCTCTAATATCTTTAGTAATATATCCTTTTTTTTCTTTTTCCAGTTTTTGGCCTCTTTTTGTTTGTATATTGAAGTATCTTGAATCTATTTCACATTAGTATTTCTTTGGGCCTTTGAATACTATATCTATTTTTAAGCAGGCTTTCTTTTTCATCTTCCACATTCTACTATCAGTTTGTGAATCTTTAATGCTTATTTGATATATTACTTTGATTAACTATTCTGTTAGATTTGTTACTTTGGTCTTAGGTCTTAGATCTTCTTGGGTCTTGTCTAAAGCTTCTACTTTGACAAGGCCTTCAATTTTTTGTCCTCTAATCTTTTTTTCTTTCCTTTTTTTAACTTTTCTTTTTTTCCTCTTTTGTCTTGCTAACTCTAGTTCAGTCAATACTTTGAAGTTTACAATCAGAATCTTTAATGCTAATTTGTTGTTTTGCTTTTGTCAAATTTTTTATTGTTTTTGAAGTCTCTTGCTTCAGTCTACTTCCAATTTTGACTTTATTTGACTACTTGTTTTTTCTTTTGCAGGGTTTGTATCTTTTTTCCTTTTGCTTCTTTGATTTTCTTCTTAGTCTCATGATATGCTGCTGTGAAAGACTTGACAGATTCTTTAAATTGATGTACTATAGATTTCAGGGTTGTTTTGTTATGCTGTCTTTGTCAACTTCTTCTTTGTTCTTGAAGTCTCTTGCTCCAATCTAATTCTATTTTTATCTTTACTTCAGCAACTTGTTTTTCTCTATTTATTAGTATTCTTTTTATTTTATTATCTAATCTTACTTCTATCACGATATTATATATTTCTTCTTTTATAATACGGTTAACAAGGTCTTCACTATCTTATATTGCTTTATGAAAAGTCTCATGATTTCTTTCTATAAG